TAGGCAATGCTGCTTTATGGTGGTTTTAATCTTGTGCAAGGTTAATATTAAAAGTACGGGTGTGTACTATGCAAGGAAGCACTGGCATTTGACGGGTTAAAAGCTGTGAGGTTGATGTGGCTGCAGAGGGATAACTGACAGGAGGGGGAGCAGATCTGCTGCTGCTGGGTTGTTACAATAGCTGGAAACTCTTTTTGATGGGGGCAGCCTTTCTGGAAAGTGCTTGCATTTTGCTTTCCACTGATCCAGAGCTGGCATGGGAGTCCTGCTCCCTGAGAGGGTGAGCTGGGGGCAGATCTCCTTGCTCATCGTTTCTGCTAATGGTGGGAGAGAAAGGGATTTGCTACAGCTCTCTCAGGCTCTCTTGCTGAGCTGTGGCATCTTCTGGAGGAGCAGGAGGTGTTGAAAACCAGCAGCCACTGGAGCAAATGCCTGAGCACTGAGTCTTCTTTCTGACTCAGCACAAGTGTCCTTCTGCAATAAATGAGCCACTTCCCAGTTTTGGTACCTTCCTTTTTACCAGTGGGGCTGGTGACCCTCCCTCCTGCCAATGCCCAGGGGTGCTCATGGCAAGGCCTGGCTTAAGGCTGTGGGAAGCTGGAACTAGTTTCTAGTTTGCAGTTCTTTGGGCTGGAGTTTTTCCTGACATTGGTCTGCCTGGGGCTGGGAAGTGTTTTCAGAGCCTAAGCCAAAAAAAGGCTTCGCTGCCTCGGAGCAAGGCTAATGCAGGGAGACCTTCCTGGCACTGTTAAATCCTGGCAACTGCCTCAAAGCGGCTCTGTCCTCTCTCCCCTTTGCTCCCTGCTTTTGTCAAACTGCAACCTACCACTTCAAAGACAGGCACACTTCTGACACAAGACTTTGCTATCCAGAGGGCACAGACAGCTTGTCAGGGAAAGAAGTTGTCTTCATTCCCCGTGTAAAGACATTTTATTAAGGCTGGGAAATGTCAAAATTGAAGTTTGCTTTTGCACCTTCAATCCAGCCCTGCTTATGTGTTACGATAGTCGCTAATTATATGATTGCATGATGCTGCTCCTGGAATAGATCCAGCTGTGGGGTGAAGGGGACTGATGATGACAGGGATCCTTCCTCTTCTTTTGCAGAGCCAGGGAGGTACACACTGAGCAAGGATGAAAAAAGCCTCTATCTTTTAGACAGCTGAACGGCACCATGGCGAAGTGTGTGCTGATGCTCTGCACCAGTGTTCCTACGTGGTCTTCAGTGGACCGTGGCAGCAGTCTTTCCAAGGCTTCTTGGTACCTTTGTACTTTTCTGGGTGTTTGACATGGGAGCATATAGATCACTTGCAAAAGTGGCAAGTACTAGCTGCCGCAAAGGAGGGAGCGGAACTCTGACACAGACAGGGCTAGGCTAATGCCCAAGGTGCAACTGGGTTGTTTCAGCAGAGGGATGGCCAGCAGAAGTGGTGTATATTTTTATATTTATATGGTTGTATATTTAATGTAGCCTTGTAAATGTTTGTGAAGGCCTGGGATGAGTAAGTCTGGATGATGGTTTGTTTTCAGGACAAGGCTGGAAAGGGAGGGATGGGCATACTGATGTAGAAGACCATCCACTGCCTAAGGAGGGCTGAGCAGCTTCTCTCTAAGCCAGCCATGTCCACTGATGCTGCAGTTGCGGCCACTTTATTCTGGCTTAAGTCTGGGCTGCTGCTGAGGAAGACAGTCTTCCCTCCCGTCTTCCTTCTCCCAGTATCGGTGAGCTGTGGGAGCTGAGCGCAAAGAGGGACTGATCTGGCTGAGAACAAACTGGTTTTTACTGAGTTGGCAAAACCAAGTTGGTTTTTACTGTGTTGCTTCCCAGTCCTGTGAATGCATGTGGTAGCACAGGAGAGGCCATAGGAACAAGTGACTGGGAAGGAAGAAGGGGAGAAAAGAGATAAAACCAGCTGCCTCTGGGAGTGTAAACCAACAATTCTGCAAGTTGCATGCACAGTGAGATGGTAGCTGTAGTTAATCTTCACTGAGACACCCTCCAGTTTCCATGAAGTTGTAGGAGATTTTATGTATTAGTGATCAAATGTGACTGGAAAGCACTAAGAATGAGTTAACAGTTTATGAAGGTGTGGAAGGTAGACCATATTTGCATGTGCATGAAGGATAAGCCTTGTTAAATGTCATCATCTGCTGGATGCTTTAAGCCAGTCTTGCTGCATGAGGGGACAGAGCTCAGTTAGGCTGGCCTCTCTTTCTGGCCTTCTCTAGGAGGTGAAGGATTAACAATGCCTCCTTCAAATTACTTAACACTATAGTTTTATGCTGGCTCTTCATATCTGCTGTGATGTGATACAATGCTGAATGCCGTGAAGGGCTTTTAAATGGCAAACGGCTTCCACCTGACTTCAGAGCCTTTGATTCCAGTCTGGAGCTGGGTCTACTAGCAATTATATTTTGTATAAATTTCACCACCATCCCTTTGGAGATGGCAGTGTGTTGATTTTCCTTCCATACCCCATCTCCAGTGTACTGATTTCTGTTCCTGAGAAGACTTGTGTGTTCTGCAATGATATCCCCAAAAGCTACATCTTACCATGAGAGACAGACTGTGATGGAGAGCCTGAATATGTTCCTAGCACTCTCTGAGGGCAGCCTTCCATTACCATAGCCTTGTACTTGCATGTGCTCCAGGCTTCCTGCAGAGTTCAGGGCATGAAATAACTCCTGTAATTTGGACCCACGGGAAGAGGCTGAACTGGAGAGGACCCTGCAGTAACAGTGGAGGAAGCAGAGGTGGCTGCCACTAGCATGCTGAATCGCACAGCATTTTCATTCATTCCAGCTGTTTAATGGGATTACATGAGGAGTGGCTTCTGCCTGCAGGCACTTAGTGCCGATGGAAATCTGCAGCTGTCTGGATCGGTTACGTGCAAATCCAATGCCTCCCCTTTATGCACAGGAATTTATGAATGGCGGAAACCATGTGAATCAATTGCATGAGTAATTTTTCATGTGCTTCACCCTATGTCAGATTGGAGGGAGACTTTCAGTTAACTGTGTCTGTGGTCCCCCAGCTTCCCCAAAGAGGGAGGAGATGCTTTGGGATGGCCACTAGGTGTAGGAGTAGGATAGCTTTGGTGAACGTGAATCCCCTTGTCTTGGGCAATGAGAGACAGACCAGTGTGCAAGTGGACGTGGAGCGGAATGCTCTCATCTTTTTCTTGGTCCGACTGCCTTGTGAAGAGGCAAAGACATGAAACCCTTCAGCCTCAAGAGAGGGAAGGTAACTCCAGCACCTCGGTGCTGACCAGAGGCAGGTGGTCTCTCTAATAGTGGAGCACAGGGATGGGGAGCTGGGACATCCAGCTCTACCTTGGATTCTGTGACCAAAAAAAATTGCTTCACTTCTTCAGGACAGGCTGAGAAACATATCTTTGGATGGCTCTTTGGGACATCAGTTTGGTGTCTGCTTCAGCAAGCTTTGTCTAAAGAGATGAGGTGGGTTTTATGGTGCAAGGCCTGTTCCAGTAGGCGCAGATTCTGCACTGTGCTTTCTTTGGGTGCGAGTATAATGTGCTGTTATTGACAAGGAAAATAGTGGCACCCATGTACTTTCCCCTTTGAATTTTTAAATCCTTCTAATAGCCTCCCTTGCATTTCCAAATATATATTTATTGTCTGCTTCCCTGACCAGATCTACCTTTTGGAGAGCAGTATCCCTGAGTGAAGGCCTTACCTGTCTGTCTGCTCAGTCCTCCCATCTACTGACCATTAGTTTGGATGTGGTCTAGCTGTAATATGGCAAATGACCTGTTGCTAGGCAGGAACTGAGCAGGAAGCCACAGTGGGTACATTAAAAGCGACGTGCTAATTTCAGATGGCACAGCAAAATGTGGAAACATGAAATTACAGCTTACATGGAACCCCAGAGCTTCATTTATGCTTTGAGGAATTCTAACAGCTACAGCCTGCTGCCCCATGGTAATGTCTGGATGGGGGATAAGCGAAAAGCATGCCTGTCCTATGAGTAACTTCCTTCTCTGGAACCAGGAACAGGGGGTGGTTGTGCTGCCTGACCAGATAGATCTTCACATGCTGAGGTGTTCTTTACAGGTCTTTTCCAAAATCTGCTCACTGTGGTCCGTAAAATGTGTTGCTGTGGTGGAATGATCCTGGGAGGAGGCAGCGTTTGGACCAGTCAGCAGCATCTGACTGTGGAAGGGGCTGAGGAAGCCCAGGCAGACCTGGGAACAAAGGAGCTGTTGCTGCAAGCTACGTGATGAAACTTTTCTCTGCGGAAGCCAGACAATCTCCCCATTTATTTGCAAGTGGCATTCGGTCACAGTTTTTTGGCAACATATGGAAACTGTTTAAATGAGCCGTATGAGCCATACGTGAAACAGATGCATATTCTTGAGCAGGCTTTTGTCATTGATGTTTGAGCAAGTGAAGGGTGCAGCTGGCTCGCTTGGGAAGTGGGGAGCATGTCCTCACCCAGATGTAGTTAAGTGCTTGAAGTGAAACAGAGAACCAGAATGTTACAGAATGTGTGTTGATAAAGACTAACTTCTCATGGGCACCTACTGCATAAGCTGAACGTATGTAATGACAGTTAACCCTTCAATGCTTTCCTGATTGCTCACTGCTGCTGCAGGATCACTTGTGTCAACAGAAGCCTGTAGGTCTGTGACTCTCTTGCTGGTGTCTTTCACTTACATGCTAGTATATTGACACACTAGTTTAAAGCTCTGAGGTCTGATTAGAGCACAATTCTACACCTTTCTGAGCAATCTTAGTAAATAGAGATTAATGAGATCTTGTTGAAGAAAGCAGAACATTGTGACTGCTGTGGGTTTTGGGTGTGAATCTTGAGAGCAATTTTGTACAGGGAGAAATTTCACACGAAACTGATGCCTCTGTAACTGGAGTTGTGACAGCCTCTGAACTTTAAATCCTCATGGAGCTCTGTACACTGGGAGGATTGTGTTGCTACACAGTCCTAGATGCTCACTGTGGTGTGTATGGTTGGGACAATAAAAAATGGCCTTGAATATTGAGAACATTGACTTCACATGTGCCAACTGCGACAGGGGAGACCAAGGTAGGAGTTGCTGAGACTGCAGTGATGGTTGCTGTGGATGTTTGGGTGGCTGAGTTTAGCTGATGTGGGACAGTAACACTGAAAGACAAGAACAGGGAGTTTGTGACAGTGGGGTTCAGAAAAGGGTAAGGAAGCAGTGAAAGCAGAGTGCTGGGAGCACTGCTGATAGGGCTGACTGGAAAGGAAGAGATTTTGGGACATCAGAAGGAGCCGCCCGAAGGAAGGCCATGGCAGGATGCAGATCTCTCCTACAAGGGCAGGACTGTGATTTTGTCTGCCTTACGGGGATGTCTGCACAGCGCAGTATTCATATATGGGTGTGCTGCTGATGGTCCTGTAATGCTTGCCATGGCAAAGCACACTTGAGGAGTGTCTGCTGGGGCGGGCGGCCTGGCTGGATCCTCTGCTGTGTGTCTCTAAAGGTGCAAATCCAGAGAAGTATTTGAACAGGGTGCTGACAAGGCTTATGAGCTGCAGAAGGGGAAGCTGGAGTTCCTGTTTGCTCTATACAAATGATGAGAAAAGGCAATCACTGGGTTTTTTTCAGGCTTTCTTGTAGGAGTTTAAAACAGGCAGGGAATGACCAGAGGGTATGAGGTGGTTTAGGGGGCTCTAGTCATCTCCCTGAACCAAGTGTCCTTGCAGGAGCCTGTGCTCTGGGCCGTGTTGTGCTGAGCTAGCAGCACAGTTCCCATATGGGACATCGCTGTATCCTGCAGGATCGTCCCCTTCTGGGATCAAAGATCCAAATCTTTGGATTACATGGCACTAGAGGTCAGGTTTCTATGACCAAGGTCAGTTACTTGTCAAATGCCTGTTTCTGGGCAAGTTGATGGTATGGGGAGTTTCCCTGAGGTGCATAGTGCAGGTGCGAGTGCCCCTTCTTAAACACTCATGGGCTGAGCCCTTCCCGAGGCTTGTGGAGGGGATTCCTTTTGCTGTAGCATCAAAGGCTTCAAATGTAAACCCAATGTGTTTTCAAACTTAACAGGCAAACCAAGCAACTGTTTATGATGACAAATACTGGTATTTTGGCTTGCAGACAAACCTAGGTGAAACATCTCTTGGGATGTGTTTTGACCTCTCCTCTTTTTTTCTTTTGTTCATGTGCTTCTTTGAACCGTTTTTGCCTGTGGTGAGACTAACCCGGAAGCATCCTTGTCACACGCATTACTCTAGTAATGTTTTGCGTACTGCAGGGGGTGGAGCGCTTCATTCTGCAAGGTTATTTTTAACTCCTAAATACTTGTGGCGAGGCCAGTCCAGGATGGTGGCTGGATTCTTAGCAAGGAAGGGCTGCGCTCCACTGCCAGGGTGAGCGATTTCCACTCCTCCTGCTCGGGGTGCCGCTGTAATTTTCCATGTGTAGTATCTCCCTCTGGGGAGTGTTTGTAAAGTTTGATTTTTAGAGGGAAGAGGGAGGAAAGGAGATAAAATCTGCTGGTCTCCTTTTGTTGCGTGTTTGGTTTTGGTTTTTTTTTGTTGGGAGGGGAAAAATACTTTTTTGTATTTTGTCCCTTATTAATACAACATAAATGCCGTGTTTTAGACTGCACCACAGCTCAGCATGTGCCTGGGACAGTGCTGGTGCCAACCTGCTTCCTCCTTGGTTTCTCTCCTGAACTTGTGTTGCCTACTGCTTTTGCTGTGTTGTGCCATGAGATACGCTCACCTGTTTCCTCTGCTATCACCTCTTGCTTTTCCTTGACGCTGTGATTTTGCAGCTTGAGAGGGCCCCAGTCCTGTGGGGTGCTGAGCCTTTCATTCCCTGGAGTGAGCTCGGTGGTCTGTGAAGGTCCTTGCTGGTTTGCAGAACAGGAATGTGGCATTTGCCCAGTTCCTGAGATCTCATGCAAGGATGGCTTTTTTTTTTTTTTTTGGTCTGTTCTGCTGGGACACCTATGCCTACCTTAGGGCACAAACCCTGCTATAGTCTGGGGGTGTCTTTGGTTACATCGCATGCCCCCACCACACCATTCAGTGCTACAGCCACTCTGGCTACTAATCTCATTCTGATCTCTTCATTGTTGTATTTTCGGCAACCCAAATTCCCCACCCAGGCCTGAGAATTTAACATCAGCACATTTGCATGACTGATCGGATTTGTCTCGCTTCTATGATGACATTGTTTCTATGGAAAATTAATGGATTCTCATGTTGTATTTTTAATAGCTGAAACCACCCCCCGCTACCCTCCCATCCCTGAGCTCTCAGAGGGGAAGTCTGTAAACAGCTCAAATTAGCTATCCTCCGTCAATAGCTCCCATTTCTTTCCTGCCTGCTGTCCATTTCTTTTCTCTCTTCCAACAGTGCTGCAACACTCCTCTCCTGGTGTTGGTGGATAAAGAACAATGGGTAAAATGAGCCTATGTTTGCTTTCCTTGTCTTGAATAGGTGTGATCTATCATGAACTACCCCCTTTCATCCAGGACCATGTGGTTTTAAATTGTCAGCCTGCCTTAAAGTTTGCTCCAAGCAGGCCCGGGTTGCTACCTTCCTTTTTTGAGGATGCAGCTCAGTTAAGGGCTCTGCTTCTGTTCATTTTTACCATGAGCCAATTTCTTCTGCGGGTGGGAAGGTGGCAGTGAATTTCCTGCCTGTCTGTTTGGGGTCACCTGTTCCCCTGCTGCAGTGCTTAGGGTGAGAGCAGTGAGGTTTTGACACCTAGTGTGTCAGGCCAACTGAAGGAAGAACATCCCTCCCCAAATGATGCAATTAAATAAGCTGTAATGGTTCACTTTGCATTGTGGGCATGGCTGGTGAAATGTCCACAGTGGGGGGATAGTGCTTATCCATTGAACCGTTCCTGGTGAAGTTTAGGGTTAGAGCAGTTTTAGTCTTAAATTTTCTTCTGCTGTCTCTAAGGTTGTTATTCCTCAACGTAATTGGGAGGAATAAATCCAGGGCAAGTCCCACGGTATGGGAATTACTTCAGGAGAAGGTCTGACCTGGATTATCTCCTCCCAGAAGACTGAAGCTGGTGGCAGGAAGGCTCAGAAAGTCTCTCTTGTGGGACAGCTGCTGAGGGGGGTGCAATGTTTTAGGTCAAGGTCTCCTAACACATGGTAACAAGAAAGTAGTGTTGAGCAAGGACCTGAATGCCTGAGACAGAAGCTGCTGCCAGCCAGTCCCTGTGCCTGTCCTTGAGGTGATGCTGGGGTGAGTGGGTAATTCCTAACTGCCCCTAGCCATAAGTGGTTGATTGCTGAAAATCAGGGCCTGTGTTCCCCACAAGGCAGATGGGAAGGTCCCTGAAAAGAGCTTGTTCCATTGCCACACAGCTGGGCTGCACTCGGTTGTCCTTATTTTCCTGCGTGCCCCAGACTTGGCTCGTGCACTGGGGTGTGCTTGCTGCTAAAGATCTTGTTCCCAGCCCCACAAGCCTAAGGCGAGGTGGTATCTCTCACTGAGGGTAGGTGGAGTTATTCAGGAACTCAACTGAGCTTTGTGTTCCTACCTTCTGGTTTTATGTCCAGATATCTGGAGTACAAGACCAGCCTGGTACCTCAGCCAGGATGTTGTGTTTGTGAGCAGAATAGGCTTTGCATCAGTGCTTTGGTAATTAAGATGGACTACTACAAATGGCAGGCAGGAAACTATGGGGACCTGATTGCTTAGTTACTTAGGACAAAAACATTGCCAATTTTTTAAGCAAAAATGCTGAGGGTATGGACATAAAGTGGTTGCTTTGAATTCTTGTGGTTGGGGGAGAAAAGGGGGCAGGGAAGAATCCAGTCTGTGCTTGGTTGAAGCAATCAGCTGTGCAAAGTGTTACTTTTCTGGATGTGATTGTTGTTTAGGGCTTTGGATTATATTAGCGTGGAAGAAATGCCTCCAAGTGAAGGGCCACAAATCATAGCTGGGCCAATAGGGAGGGAAAGAGGACTATAAAACAGGAAATCAATTTAATACTCAGTGGGTGTTTGCAGCGTGCTCACCCTTCCTTCAAATTGCCAAAGGAAAGATTAATTAAAGTTATATTGAGCAGCAAAAATGATGGAGGGTGTGAGATGGGGATTGCGTGGTACAGCTTTCTCCATAATTAATTGACAAAGGCATTCTTGGATTTCATTACCCAGAACTTTGCCATCTCCTGCTCTTACAGGGCAGCTGAAGCAATGCTAGATTTCCAAGCCGGTATTGCTGCCTTGCAGGTTGTGCTAACAAGGATCAATTCATAGGCACTTGGGGAAGGTGCTGCCTCTGTCAAGTAGGGCCACCGTGCTATTTATGGGTCCTGTCATTTAGGGTCAGACCACAAAATGCTTTTATCTGCTTGTGGTTTTGTTTCCTGGTTTCCACTTCAGCTAAGATTGAGAGCTGTATGCACTGCAAGGTGGAGGTGTTGGCAGGGGATGGAGATTCCTGGTGGCTAGGTCTCTCGTCTCTGTCTGCTGTCTTTATTTAGTCAGAATAACTTTTGAGCAGGGTGTGACAAAAGCTATAGGAGGCCAGGGATTGTCTGGACCACTCGCTAACTGTCAAACAGGGAGAGAATTGTATGTGGCTCCCCTTCCTTGCATCATGATCCAGCTGCCATCTGTGTCCCTTCTGTACTTTTCATGAAAAGCTACACCTGATCAGTGCTATCTTTGTGAGCACCTTTTGCTGCTTGCACCAGCTGTTTTTTGGGGGCTGTTGTGTGTTACTTTCCCTCTACCTCTCTGGGATAGGCTTTGGAGAGGCCTGGGCTTTGCCATTGTGATGGAGTTTCAGAAGCCAATTCCTGTAAGCTGAGATGCAGCTCAACCTGCCAGGTTCCACCTGTCAGTGACTAGAGCACTTCCTCCCAAATTTTCCCTTGAAGATCTTCACTTGGTTTGATGCCAGAGCTTCCCTTAAATCTGGCTAAATATGAAGCTTTCTGCTCTTGTTCTTCTGAAGAGAAGCTGTAGCAGTCCCCCCTAAGGGTGTTTAAACACTTTGCAGTGCAAGAGGGAGTTTCTACATACCGTGCTGTTGTAAGGGGAAAGCTCTGCTGTCTGCCCAGTTGTCCAAGG